TCGTTTAGTGGGTGGGCCCTAAAATTCCTTGGGCCCGCGGTCTGCTCCCAACACCTTGCAGATAGTCAAGTCCCACATACCCCGCACGCCCCCTAGGCGCGGGGACCTCGTAGGAGGTTCGGCCAATAATGAATAATGTTAAATCAAAGAATGTCAAACATCATCAATGAATACATTTTTCTGGTTTAATATTTAATGAAACACAAGTAATGAAAATACACATATTTTACAAAAATCAAACAAAAATTTGGAATAACAGTGTATCTATCCAGCTCGTTATAAAATAAAATTAAAGTTTGAAAAAATCTACACGTTTTAAATCATCATAGTTTTGAAATAATACTAAGACTATAATATCCAGATAATATCATCGTGATATTGTTTGGGTGTGTCTTACCTTACAACCCATCCTGTGGAACATAGTTTCATGGCCTCTACTTGAAAGCTTGAAAAGGACCGAAAGTGTTTTCTGGAGGCTCGACAAAGTATTGGTATGAAGAAAACGCTGTACATGTTTATAAAGGACTAGCGACCCGCCCTCGCTTCGCTTCGGAAACATTAAAACACACATGAAACCAAACAAATGAAATTTTTTTTTTTTTTAAAAATAGCCTATGTTCATCAGGGACAATGTCGGCTTCTAATGGAAAAAGATTTTTTCAAATCGGTCCAGTAGTTTCGGAGCCTATTCGAAACAAACAAACAAACAAATCTTTCCTCTTTATAATATTAAGTATAGATAAGAGCTCTTCCTTTAGAGAAATTGCTTTAGTCCCTGCAAAAACATCAGACCTACATGTTCATGGTAAATGGTGATACTGAAATCAAAGTACCTATATTGAACCTTTTTCAATGTCTTTATTGAAAACAGGTATGTTACTTTATGATTTGTGAAAGCTGTGGCAGTGAATGATGCGATTTTATTGTAATATGGGTCCGATGATTGTGGCTACCAGCTTTGAGAGGCAGACACGAAGTTTCTTGTGACTTGTTTGCCTACCTATTGCCAGTAACCTTGAGGGGTCATGCTAACTTCACCGAAAGCGTAGGCGAGCATACTTTGGCTCAGCCTGGAAGACTTTGCTAACATCTGTCCTAGCAAAAGCAGAACTTCGCTGAATCTTCCACCGGATCGGAACCGCGGATCACTGGAAGATCCGGCGAGATACTCAGTGAGGTTTTCTTGTGACCGAATTATTTGTCATCCAGCATAAATGTTAGGTGACGGACTGCTTATTTATGAAGATGCGCTGATTATGTTTTTAAATACGTTTCCAACATTCCGAAAGCAATGAGCTAATCTTCATTTACTGAAAAACACAATTATTATTTTCTCAGACCTATCACGGTGACAAGACAACCGAGCCAAGGGTATGATTCATTAATAAAAAAGAGCATGGCGTCATTTAAAACAAGAATTTAACATATTTTGTTTCGCTCCTGTCAAATGCATTAAAGTTGAAAAGAGACGGCGATATTAACATTGTCTCGTTCCGATGAGGAAAATTCAAATTCAGAACGCTTCGAGCCGAGCTATTCTGATTCAGTAATAAGTTTGGCGCCAAATCGACTGTACGTTGTCACTTGCGTGTTTCTTATTTGCATTTTAAACTGTGATATTATTTTTAGTTTCAATTTATCTGGTGAGTGTTCAATATTATATTAAGTTTGTATCGGAGCTCGGGTGTCAATAAAAATAAGGTCTACGTCTTTTGGTCTTAAAATTATTTTATACCTTCGCTTCCAAATTCGAACAATTATTCACACACATTTTGGAGTATGTACATAGCAACCTCTAATTTATTGTGTTTCTAGCTACATAGAATTTTTCCGGCTTAAAATTGATTTTCAATGTCGAATTCGTAATGTAATATGTCTTTGGAGCATGAAATCTGTTTGAGAAATTGTATAGGAGTAGGAAAAAACTTAGATCCGTATGCAAACGGGATTCCAGAAGATTTTATGTGAACTAGACCGGTTCTGTCCTTTGATTAAAATGTACCTACCATTCGTAGCCGCAATATACGCGCCACGTGTAGTTTATCTGGGATGTAGGTACCTTGATTTTGAACCGTTTACAAAACTATAAGGTCGTAAAGGTTTTAAATTGAAAATTCTCGAGAAACAATACATAAGTACGCTCTCTCTCTCTCTCTCTCGCGTCTTTCACTATAAATTTGATCTCGACGCGGCCTATTGAGAATTTCTTGCAAATAACGATGGTTTTTAGTGGGGACACTACAAGGATATGAACTAATTTAGACTCTGAACTATCGATACTTCCTTTAAATATTATAAATGGGATGTGTGTTTGTTTGTCCTTTTTTTCACGTCGAAACAAACTGATGGATTGTAGTTTTTGTTTTAAATAACCGCATGTATTTAGGAGAATGACATTGGTAACCTTTTATACTGAAAAAAATGTCATTATCACCGGAAACTACACTGATCCTTTTCCTTGACCACGCAAACGAAGCCGTGGGTAACAGCTAATGATGTAGAATAGAATCATGATGATTTACATTTAGCTGTATTTCTAATTGTTGTCTTGAACTATGAGGCGTAATATGGTTTCGCTCGAGTTACCACCAAACTTTACCTATTTATGTGACGAAAGCTGTGTTATTGTTATGCAATTGAGAACTTGATTTAATATCAAAGCTAGTTATATATTACGTAGTCTCGGTAATTACAATGTACATCAGATTAAATGAACCGTGAGATTTGTTTTTTTGCAAAACTATAAAATAATTCAAAGAATCCAAATTCTAGCAATCTAAACTTTAGGCCCATCGCTTAGGTCTACTTTAGGCTCTAAAGCGAACGTCAAAGACCTGCGAGTATAATTAAATAAAAACATTATAGTTATTTTCTTTTCTTCCCGGCCTTTTCATCTTCGACCACAGAGCTCCAGACAAATGACGCGCCTCCTTAGAAACTTTGTAAAAGGTTCAGGTTTTCCCCACCCAAAAATGTTTTATTGTCCTAGTCTAAATGCGTTGCTCTGAAGTTGCAAGTGTATATAAGTAAACTGGTCGCTAAAAGACCGCTTTTTTTTATAAACCCCCAACCTTAGTGGCCCGGAGGCCTTTCCAGCTTCATCGGAAGGAATGGGTGAACTCACAGGCTCTAGGCCTGTAAACTAAGCCTTTATTTGTCCCTCTTTAAGATTTCAAATCTTTTGATCGTTCCAAAAGTTACAGATATTTCTATAGTTTATAAGAGGCCCGTCCGCTAACTAATACCCACGTATCTGACATGGCGTATTGCACTCTGCAAGGTTTTCCATTCGTACTTATCGATCGCCAACGACCTTGTCAAACGTAACTAAGACCTATCGGACCGACACAAAGCTGGTTATTTGATACGGACATTATTTATTCAGAATATAACCGGTTTTTTTGTTGTGTTTACGTTCACACGGATAATGACTTTGGCAATAGAACGTATTCTTTAAGACGTCGAATTGGAATTTTGGTTAATGTCGTGATTGTGTATTAGTAAATACTAGAGGTCCCGCAGTAGTCGAAATTCGACTATAATTAATTGGAATTGTAAGTTTGTACACTATTATGATTGTATTTTATACTTCTATAATCACAAATTTCGCCAAGACTACACTATAAAAAATATTTACAAAGACAATGTTTAATCTATTCTCAATTTGACAACAGACGCCAAGAACAAAAGTTTGACAATAAATAATATGCATGCGTGTGTGCGTCAAATACATGGTATGTAGTGTGTGTAATGTTTTCTTTATTGATTTAATGTATCTTTTATGCATTATTTTAAAAATATATTAGCGTTGTGCATTTCTTCTCTATATTCTCTATAAGTGTGGGAAATTTCATACTCCTCCGTCCGCGCAATTTTCATAAAAAGGGATACAAAGTTTTTGCTTCACGTATTAATATATAGATATGGCTGCTATTATATCGTAACATCTGAGTGAGCAGTTCTTATAGTGAAGACGAAAAGCCAAGTTAAACAAATGACCAGACCTCAAAATGCTTTAATAAATTAATAAACGTATATTTTTTTACAGAAATATAGTTAATTTTGCAGTTAACCTAATACCTTAGTACTCTTTAGTGAATCCCTATTAGTTTTCTTCAGTGGACGAGTTCACGGACCACCTAGTTTTGAGTGATTATCCTGTAATTTGTACTTTTATCCACTCACCTATTTTCTCCGCGTGTCCTATCGTGCCTCATTTCCACTACAGTCATTGCTCCCATATACGTTAGTGATAATGAAAGTGTGAAATATTCGAATCTTAAAAAACAATATCGAGGGGTGAATAGGGTGAGGGGGTGGTTGTAATGAAAAGGTCCGTTTTTTGGTATTTGTATCAAAAAGTTCGATGTTTTTTAATTGAACTTCAATTAAGCTTACTCCATTCAAATTGCTGAAGTTTTTTTTTCGAAATGTTAAACTTTTAATGGCTCTTCTGTAAAGTTGCAAAAATGACGCGCTTATACCAAACTAGCGAACCGCTCCGGCTCCGCTCGGGTCTTTAACAAAAATTTCAACGACATTTGACGTTGTTTTATTTTTTTAAATAAAAGCACACTTATTGCGGCATAACTATAATAGTTAGACATATGCTGTCGCGACACTTTTTGTAAATGATAATGTGTTCTACAAAGTCGTAGTATATAATTTTTTTCTTTCATCAATAGTTGTCGCAGGGCACGCGATGTAAAGAAAATTTTAGGTAATCTTTTTACTCCTTGGGTTAAATTATTAGAGTTTAAGTAAGGATCCCTAATCAAAAAACATTACAGCCTATGTCACTTCGGGAATAGTGTAGCTTTCAAACAGTGAAATAATTTTTCAAATCGGTTCAGTAGTTTCGGAGCCTATTCAATACAAACAAACAAATCTTTCCTCTTTATAATATTAGTATAGATAACCCCTTCACGTCTCTATTTATGTAGTTTAAAAAGATCTCGGCTTAACTATATAGTTTTAACGTCGCTTGTCCACAGCCCAAGATGTCCATTCACATCAAGGATTCCGACGACCTGAAGACAAGGCTGGCGGAGGCCGGCGACAAGCTCGTCGTGATCGACTTCATGGCGACCTGGTGCGGACCGTGCAAGATGATCGGGCCTAAACTGGACGAGATCGCCGCCGAAATGTCAGATTCCATCGTCGTTGTGAAGGCGAGTCCTTTTTTTATCTTCCTATCTATTCGCTGGTAGTGTAAGGTGCTTATTTCAGCTACGCGCGGACGGGTGGGTGAGCTCGCGGGCTCAACTTGAGAGAATGTGCTAACAGCCCTAGTAAGAGCAGTGCTTCGCTGAATCTACCACCGGATCGGAATCGCGACCCACTGATAAGTCGTCGTTTGAAGTCGTGGCCTAAAGGATAAGACGTCCGTACCAATTGTTCTAATGAAATACGTTCTCAACAAATGTTCACGATTGACTTCCACGGTGAAGGAATAACATCGTGTAATAAAAATCAAACCCGCAAAATTATAATTTGCGTAATTACTGGTGGTAGGACCTGTTGCGAGTCCGCACGGGTAGATACCACTGCCCTGCCTATTTCTGCCGTGAAGCAGTAATGCGTTTCGGTTTGAAGGGTGCGGCAGCCGTTGTAACTATACTGAGACCTTAGAACTTATATCTCAAGGTGGGTGGCGCATTTACGTTGTAGATGTCTATGGGCTCCAGTAACCACTTAACATCAGGTGGGCTGTGAGATCGTCCACTCAACTAAGCAATAAAAAAAATTAATTGGATTGTCGAATTTAAAAATCTTCCTACGATACTTGTGTGCGATGTTGTCAATGATTTAAATAAAAATATTTTAAATCGGCAACTGCTTGCTTTGATATTACATAATTTAAATATATAAAAATAAAATGTTTCTAAAAAAAAAACCCAGCAATAAATGTTATCAGAATTGTAATGTTCACTTAAACGTTATCAATAATGCCGCGATAATTTAGTAAGATTGTAAATATAGTTTGGGTGTTATCACGAAAACGTCGGTTGCACGCGACCGCATGAGAATCACTACAATATGTAACGTAAGAAATAAACATATTTGTCGAAGTACATTCAATTAACATTATTAACCATTTCGTATCTTTGAAAGTCGTCGTGGCCTAAAGGATAAGACGTCCGGTGCATTCGTATGTAGCGATGCACCGATGTTCGAATCCCGCAGGCGGGTACCAATTTTTCTAATGAAATACGTACTCAACAAATGTTCACGATTGACTTCCACGGTGAAGGAATAACATCGTGTAATAAAAATCAAACCCGCAAAATTATAATTTGCATAATCACTGGTGTTAGGACCTCTTGTGAGTCCGCACGGGTAGGTACCACCGCCCCGCCTATTTCTGCCGTGAAGCAGTAATGCGCTTCGGTTTGAAGGGTGGGGTAGCCGTTGTAACTATACTGAGACCTTAGAACTTATATCTCAAGGTGGGTGGCGCATTTGCGTTGTAGATGTCTATGGGCTCCAGTAACCACCTAACACCAGGTGGGCTGTGAGCTCGTCGACCCATCTCAGCAATAAAAAAAAATATGTAGAAGTATGTAGAAATTAATCAGAATCTTTAGAAAAGTTTCTCGGGTTCTTCTAAAAAGACTATACTAGCAAATTCTCTCAGCGTTGAACTAACAAGTAATTTCATTTGACTTTTCCCCTAAAACATACGGCTTCGATCCTATATACATAATGTATACTAATATATATAATTCTACAGTGGTTTTTACGGATGTTCCGTTATAACTACTGAACCATGCATCCGATTGACTTGAAACTTGGTATCCATGTAGAAAATACATGTACTTAATGGATAGGCTAATATTTATATTAGTGTTGGACTCCCTGCACCAGTTGCGGGGGCGTTAATGATGAGAATTTTTATGTTGGAGAGATATAATAATGTTAATATTAAATGCCCAGCGAAGCGGACGGGTACAGCTAGTTACATAATAAATATGTCTTGCGAATGTACGCGACATACGTATGTTCTATAGCGTTTATTAAACTAATTAGTTTTTTATTAACTATTAACATACTAACTACTAACACTACTACTACTAATAAACTAGTTAGTTTGGTGATTTGAGGTTTTTTTTTGGTACATTTCCTTCCTAATGTAAGGGGCCTATTTGCCTGCAGCAAAAGTATAGCTTTACAGTTGTAGTCCACTTTTTTGTGGCCCTAGACAACAAATCAATTCAGAACTGTCAAGATTTGTAGCCAGTTCAAAATGTTTAAAAAAAACTTAGCTTCTTAGCCTAATTTCAGCCTATATTTCGATTCGTTAAGCTTAACTTTTGTTCCCATTGCCTGTTACAAGGGAACGATGTATTTAATTTTCATAGAAAACACTACTAAGGCCACTGTTTTAACTCGTCACCGTGATATGCAAAATATTAAGACGAATTGAATGACAATCACGATAGATCAAGGTGTTATGAAATATTACGCAAAAATAAGAAATACGATGCAGATGGAAAGAAAAAAACACTTTTTTTAAAATAGGTATTTACTATTCGCTCAATAATATATCAACATTGTGTTTTTGTTAAGTTTTGTCAATGATGATGATGATAATAATATAATAATGCCAAAGTTTCCCGTAAAATCTCTTAAAAATTTTTTTCTGCCCGTTTGGTAACATTTTTTTTTTTTCTGTAGAAGTTTTTTTCCAATATTTAAACTTTAAATGCCGCTTCTGTAAAGTTGCAAAAATTACGCGCTTATACCAAAAAATCTTTTTTGGTATAAGCGCCCCCCTCAGTAGGTACGTATATGTAGTTCAAAAAGATCTCGGCTTAACTAGTTTTAATATCGCTTGTCCGCAGCCCAAACAAATCAAAAATACGGATATAATAAACTTGCTACACTAGTCTGGCCATCATAAGTGCGTTTGACCGCTTACCGTTCCTTCGGTCGATCAATAAAACCATTCCGTTTGCTTGCCTAAGGTCACAGGGTGACTCATAATTCTGACGAAATACCGTGGACCGCGCACTCCCAATAAACATGGAAGTAATGAGTTTCTAATTGCGGAAAATCAACTAAATATGGCTGTTGCTACGATGTGTTATATAAAATTAACTAGCGACCCGCCCTCGCTTCACTTCGGAAACTGTAATTTATTATTGATTTCTCCACTATTTAATGGATGTTATTATACATATAAACCTTCCTCTTTAATCACTCTATCTATTAAAAAAAACCGCATCAAAATCCGTTGCGTAGTTTTAAAGATTTAAGCATACATAGGGACAGACAGATATAGGGACAGAGAAAGCGATTTTGTTTTATACTATGTAGTGATGCCGTATCGTGCCTTTTTTCCCCTTACCTAATCGCCTGAAGCCGCGGGGGCTATTCCAGCTACGCAAGCTTTGGTAGATGAGATCAGGGAATTCAAGTGCTTCGCTGAATCTACCGTCAGATTGGAACCGCGTAACTCGTTTTTTGGGCTCCTCAAATCCGAAGATATGAACGAGAATGGTTACGAATATCATGTCGATGATTATGCACAATCTGAACACAATAACTTAATTATCTAATCTAAAAATAAACAGCAGACAGTCTGCGCCAATAAATAAAAAAAATGTAATCATAATCGTGCGTACAGCTCGACCAAGCTAAGTTTGCATCTCGCATCGATTACGTCACACTGCCGCTTAGGTATGGTCTGAAAAAAAGAATGGTCATTTTCAACGTACTTCAGACCAAGGAAGCTCTCATTTCACTTTTTACTGGTGGTAGGACCTCTTGTGAGTCCGCACGGGTAGACCACAACCCCGCTTATATCTGCCGTGAAGCGGTAACGCGTTTCGGTTTGAAGGACAGGACAGCCATTGTAACTACTTGAGACCTTAGAACTTATATCTCAAGGTGAGTCTCGTTTACGTTGTAAATGTCTATGGGCTACAGTAACCACTTAACACCAGGTGGGCTGTGAGCTCGTCCACCCTTCTAGGCAATAAAAGAAAAGCTCGTATGGAGTATAATTTTGTGGGATGATATCTTAGTGACACAATATGAGCACTTTAAAAAACTAATGGTCCCCCGGTAGTCGAAATTCGACTATAATTAATTGAAATTATAAGTTTGTTCACTATTATGATTGTCAAAGACTTCTATAATCTCAGATTTCGCCAAGACTACACTTTACACAAATATTAATAAAGACCAACAATATTTAATCTAATCTCAATTTGACCACAGACTATAAGTAATAAGAAAAGCTTGACAATAAACAAATAGTATGCATGCCTGTGTGTCAAATACATGGTAGTGTTGTGTAATGTTGTTTTTTAATTGATTTAATGTATCTATGCATAATTTAAGAAAGAATATTAGCATTCTGCATTTCTTCTCTATATTCTCTATAAGTGTGGAAAATTTCATACTCCTAGGTCCGCGCAATTTTCATAAAAAGGCATACAAAGTTTTTGCTTCACGTATTAATCTATATGCATGTATAAAAATGAATTGCTGTTCGTTGGTCTCGCTAAAACTCGAGAATGGCTGGACCGATTTGGCTAATTTTGGTCTTGAATTATTTGTGGAAGTCCAGAGAAGGTTTAAAAGTTAGATAAATATGAAAATGCTCGGAATTAAATAAAAATAACAATTTTGTTTTTCCTTTGATGTGTCCCCCGTCGGACGAATTCCTTTTGTTTGTTTTAAGTTTATTTTATACAAAAGTTTAGGTCTTTTATTTACCGATTGAGGCACTACGAAGTCTGCCGGGTCAGCTAGTTAATATATAGATATTTGAGTCGACAGCGATATTGTAAGATCGGTTTCTGAGACATCAAAAGTTGTGCCTTTTATTGCTCTATCAATCAAATGGCGCCAGTAGTCCGGCGAGCCTGGCTGCGTTCCGGGTCAATAACTAACTATATTCCCTTGCCAAGTGGTGACTCATAGCGCCTACCAACACTTGAGATCGTGTCGTAACCGCTTTTCCCGGTAAAACTCGCTAATGTTCGAAGCGAAACTTAGCGCAAGAATAAACGTGTTTGTAAAACATGCTTTGGTTTTCAATGGCATGGAAATTGTTTGATAGAAAGGCCTAATTAAACATGCATTTGTTTTGGTGGAACGGGATATATGTCTTGATGGAACTGCTTAAGTTCTTGTCTCCTCTAAAAGTCTAAAAAAAAAACAAAGGAGTACAGTTGAAAGTGGATTGTAAAAATAAATCTTTTAACTGAAGCTTGTACACTTGTGTACATTAAATGTTATTTTAACGGTTGACACTAAGTATTTTTGCCTTATTTTTCCTCTATTTATAAGGATAATATGCCAAATTATTATTTGTATGCAGGTTATTTGTAGGTACATTTTGTACTGTCGATACAAAACATGATTATTTTGGATTGATTCGTTGTCTAAGCCTCAAAAAAGCAGGCTACGGTTGTAATGCTAAACTTTTGCCATAGTTCTCGCGTCAGAACATTTTTTTATTTTATTTCTTAGATGAGTGGACGAGTTCACAGCCCACCTGGTGTTAAGTGGTTACTGGAGCCCATAGACATCTACAACGTAAATGCGCCACCCACCTTGAGATATAAGTTCTAAGGTCTCAAGTATAGTTACAACGGCAGCCCCACCCTTCAAATCGAAACGCATTACTGCTTCACTGCTGCAAAAATAGGCAGGGTAGTGGTACCTACCCGTGCGGACTCACAAGAGGTCCTATCACCAGTAAAAAATGATTTATAAGGATAATATATCAAAGTATTATTTGTATGTAGGTTATTTGTACATTTTGTACTGTCGATACAAAACTTGATGATTTTGGATTGATTCGTTGTCTAAGCCTCAAAGAAGCAGACTACGGTTGTAATGTTAAACTTTTGCCACAGTCCCCGCATAAAAACATGAATGTACCATTTTTTTTTAACTAAGTTGATAGCCTTGAGAGGATATTTCAGCGTAACCTTAACTAGTAGGTGAGCTCATGGGGCTCAAACCGGAGTAATGCTAACACTGAGCCTAGCAAGAGCAGTGCTTCGCAGAATCTACCACCGGATCGGAAACGCGACCCACTGAAAAGATCCGAGGCGAGAAACTCATTGGGCTGTGTCTATGGGTGAATTCGCTCGTCGAGTCCTTCGTCGCAAGCGACGGTGACCGGAATGTACCAAAGAAAATGAGCTCCAAATGACAAACTTATCAATGTACTAGCGACCCGCCATCGCTTCGCTTCGGAAACATTAAAAAACACATGAAACCAAAAAAAAAAAAAAAAAGTAGTCTATGTTCATCAGGGACAATGTCGGCTTCTAATGGAAAAAGAATTTTTCAAATCGGTCCGGTAGTTTCGGAGCCTATTCGAAACAAACAAACAAACAAATCTTTCCTCTTTATAATATTAGTATAGATTAACGCTACCTAAAATACGTGTGTACATTCGTATAGAATAATCGTAATCTAAAAACTCATTGAGGAGTTATCAATTAAACGAAGATAAGCAATCTAACATACCTTTGTCTAATCTAACATAACAGACCTGCTCTTGAGCTAGTGTGACTAGCATTAATATTAAGAGCGCGTCGTAAACCTTAATATCAACAAATACGAGATTGAACACGTATCCATAGTTTCTGAATCATTTGCGTTACATAAAGTTCGCAGCCCACTGAGTTTCTCGCCGTATCTTCTCAGCGGGTCGCGTTTCCGATCCGGTGGTAGATTCTGCGAAGCACTGCTCTAGGTAGGGCCAGTGTTAGCAACACCTCCGATTTGAATCCCGAGAGCTCACCTACACTCTAAGTAATGCTGATATAACCTCTCAAGGCTATCAGCATAGGTAGGGAAAAGAAAAAGTTTGCAAAAAATATCAATGTAGTTAATAAATGATAACATTTTTTCTGTTCTGTTTAGTTCGAATCTTATAGGTATGTACTAAATAAAATAAAAAATATTATCTTGAGTTTGACAATGAAACACAGACATGTTATATTGAAATCATCAAGTATTTATAGCGATGATAAACAAACAGACATTCGCGCTGATAATTGAATAAATGAATTATGAAATTTTATGAAATAAGTGAATTAAATATTAAAGTTTATTTTTGCTTTGGACGTGACTTATATAAGTAGACCAGCGTATGTTTTATCTTTGAATTTATGAAAAAAATTAGAGTTCTCAATTCAAACTCTCCTATTTTGCTATTCGAGATATAAAAAGGTATGTTTTATTTTAGAAAAGTTCAAATTTTTATAGTAAAATGTTTTATATGGGTATAAGATTTTTAGAAGAACGTATAAGTCATATTTGTTACAAATAAATATGCACTAAGTGAAGCTTATATCGCAGAAGACCTAAGTCTGCTTATTTGTGACATACAGCGCGAACTATACACATTTAAGCAAAATATTGAACAAATTCACGGCCGATCTGGTTTTGTTGCAAGAGTCTATTGGCATGACAACGTTAATGTCATAATAGATCGAGACATCCTTACCGGTGATATAGCAACCTTCAAACCGGAACGAATAACTTGCTGCATGACATGATTAAATGAATATTAAAATTATAATTTACATAATAATACGATAGAGTTCAAAACTAATTGTCAATGCAGAATACGTAATGCCAATATATTCATTGCTGTATTACAAAGCGTTTAGTGACGAAGCCTCGCAAACTAAACGTAATGAGACTGCGTATTCTTTGCTGATTTTTGTTTAAACCAGTTTTTGGGTACCTTCGCCTGTTTTTAGTAGTCATTTTTATAATTGGCTACGATCTTCGCTGATGCTTCGTGCAGTAGATATCCGCTTGCGAAAGAAACTAAACCTCGAATTTTATACAGAACACACAGGGAATCAGAAACTAAGGGGATACTGACTATTTATCGGGTTATTGGTTTTTGATTTGAAAAACAATTAGAAACTGAGAAGATCGGGCGAAAAACTCAGTGGGCTAATTTACTCGTGGAGCCCTTCGTCGCAAGCGACGGGTTCGACGAGGACGGTGACCTGTGCTTGAGTTACCTTTAAAAGCACCGTTATTGGATCGGGAGGATCCGTAATGGTGTTTAGGGCGCTGTCGACTGACTTCTAATACTGAGTGGTCAGTATACTGCCGAAGATTCTTATATATTAGTGACTCTTGAAAATCCAAGAACTGTCGGTTTTTTTTTTGCTTAGATGGTTGGACGAGCTCACAGCCCACCTAATGTTAAGTGGTTACTGGAGCCCACAGACATTTACAACGTAAATGCGCCACCCACCCTGAGATATAAGTTCTAAGCTACTCTTCAAACCGAAACGCATTACTGCTTCACGGCAGAAATAGGCAGGGCGGTGGTACCTACCCGCGCGGACTCAGAAGAGGTCCTACCACCAGTTACTACGCAAATTTTTGCGTGTTCGATTTTTATTACACGATGTTATTCCTTCACCGTGGAAGTCAATCGTGAACATTTGTCGAGTACGTATTTCATTAGTAAAATTGGTACCCGCCTGCGGGATTCGAACACCGGTGCACCGCTCAACACGAATGCACCGGACGTCTTATCCTTTAGGCCACGACGACTTCGGTTGAAAGGTTTTCTTTTTTTTTTTAACGCGGTTTTTCTATTTAATCTATTCCAGGTGGACGTTGATGAGTGCGAGGACATCGCCAGCGAGTACAACATCAACTCGATGCCGACGTTCGTCTTCGTTAAGAATGGCAAGAAACTGGACGAATTCTCTGGCGCTAACGTCGACAAACTCAAAACAACTATCCTTAAACACAAGTAAATAGAGACTAAAGTTGTACGCAGCCGCCGATGGAAACTAAATGGAATTAAAAAAAAAAACATGTATACGTTTTTAATAAATGAAGAAAAAATGTTTTTAACGTCTGTAATGAATTTGAAGATATTAATTTTTAGTGTTTGCAGCCTCTGGAATGCAAAAAATATTGGTTCTGTTGTAATCAAACAATTCAATAAATAAAACTAGATATTAGTTAATAATTTACAACCCAAACTGTATTTCTATTTTGGTTTTTTTTAATCAAGTGGTTGCTAAGGAACTTTGATGTATGAATTGTTATGTTTTTTATTTTTTATTTTTGTCCGGCTTACTCAAATGTATAATCTCACCAATACTAATCAATGTGTAAGATAAGTTTCCATCGTGCTTTTAAAAACTTTTGTAAGTAACAAGTATCACAATGTTTTTTTTTTTATGTTATGCAAGTAGAAGCATGTTTTTTTAACGCCGTGCTTATGCGCTTAAGGTCAGCGTACAACTAGTACATACCCGTATGGTTTCTGTGTATTTTGCATTATATATAAAAATATGTATGTTACAGAGTATTGTTACATTGATAAAATTTATGAAAAAATAAATATTTGGGTTTTATTTGACTATCGTTTTTAAATATATTTTCTGAATAGATAAACAAAATTCCGTTTGCAATGTCAATGTCAAAATGTGTAAAATGTCTTAAATATTGACGTAAACATATTAGTAAATTAAATACATTATCTGTGTACAGAATAGTGATCATAGATAATACACTTAATATTTTCAAGTCAACAGTTTTGCAATACGTACATACAAAAATATTAAATTTAACCACTCTCCTCAATACATACTTAGTTAACACACAACTAAATAACGTCTGATATGCAATTCTCACACAAAGTCAATCCTAAAATATTTTATCTCGCGCAAACTAAATCCTGTGGATGTTTTGTGGTTTGTTATATCGCTCTTTCGTTTCGTCAAATTTAAAGTCACCAAAATTAAATCGGTTTTCCCTTCAGTAACAACGCTCCAAAGTCGGAAACTGATGTTAATTACTGTATAACGTACTGTACCTATTCCAGCCATAAGTTCTATTACAAATTATGAAAGTCCATTTTTTTAAATAAAGTAATATAATATTATTAAATTTTATACCTACATATTTATTAGTCTCAGCAAAAAAAAAATTATTCGAAATGGCCAACTATGGCTTTTATCTGTTTGGCCACGAATCTAGGGATTTACGCACGGTTTCAAGGGAAATTTCGCCACTGCTTTCTCCAAAGATTTTTTAAGAAACTCAAGGTCGGCGTGTCGCTTAGAGCAGGCCATGTCCTCTAAAACTGGCCATAATTTGAAGTCTAAAGAGTTGAGGTCTGGGCTAGATGAGGGCCAGTCTTCAGCTCTTTTAAAGTCATTAACGTTGGTTTCAAGCCAGGCTTGAGTAGTTCGTGCCTTGTGTCCAGGTGCATAGTCCTGCTGGAAAGTTACGGTATATTTTTAAAAAGTGTATTGCTGAGAGACTTCACAACATGATCCAAGATACACTGGCTGAAGTTTTCACTCCTTTTTCACCAAACCACCACTGACACAGGATGATGACCACGTTGTACCTTTCTGTCCACTTAAGCAGCTTCTTTAGAGCTGTGAGCGTACACTTTATCATTTTGCTTATTGTTAGTGTTCTTCAATCGTGAATAGCCTTTCATCGGTAGAGAGGATATTTCTGTGCCTTTCACCTGCCTATCGCGACAGAAGCCGTTTTTATCGATCCACTCTCGTTAACTGTAAATATTGATTTAGAACATATCCTATATATCGACGATAATCACAAAATAAAACTACTGAATAATACATAAACTTTTAATTTATTGAAAGTGAATAATTTTGTTCAAAATACACGTTACTAAGTTATGTTTATTTACGAAATTCAAACGCATCTCTGAACACAACTGGTTCGTACGGTTATTTAACAAATCACTCCAAGTGCGATCATGGATCATCAACCATTTCCAAACAGACACGGGAGACATATCGTCTTTTCGCATTAAAAGTGTACAATTTCCAGGAATATTCAAAATTGAGTTAATATGCGGAATCATTTGGTATCACCACTATTTTTCTCATAAATACTGTCAAAAGAGCGTACCTAGTTTAGTTTTAGTTTTTTTTTTAGTTACCTATATTTTGACTACTATTAATAAAATTAATACATAATTTTATCTTACTTTAAAAGACAGATAATGTAACTGGTAAAAAATAACAAAAAATGTTGCAAAGATGATTTAGTAATATTAAAAATATCACACGTTAAACCTTTAAAACACTCTTCTGTAAAATTATTAAGTTTTGAGATTAAACACTTTTAATGCGAGAAGACGATATGTATTCAATCTCATTGTACTAAAATATTATTTGTACTGAAATAAAAGCTTATCCCTTATTTACTTATCTATTAGGACCTATCTCTCGGCACGCCCTCTACAACTACTCAAGGAAGACAATTTGGGCTACCACAACACTAGCTGATGACACGGGTTGTTTTTTGTTTAATGTCTTAGTAGAGACGAGCATGCGGCCATTTGATGGGGACCGGTCACCGCCGATCATGGACATCAGCAAAGTCTACCTGCCTGCTGATAAGGACTCTGGGTGACAACAAGATATGACCTTTAAATGGTATTATGCATCGCTAGGTCAGTTCCCAACATTTATGTTGAGGCTAATGTGGAATATGCATTCCGACTCTGTATCCACCGAGCTAAGTCTTCAAACGAGGGTCAGGATTTGAAATAGGTCACTTCCCAACGACTGGTCCGCTTGCTCAACTTACTATCCGAGACAATAAAAAAAACTTACTTTAATGTTAAAAACCAGTTTTTGCTCTTATGTAACTATACATTAAAGATCACACGCGTCGTTTGCTAATCATGACGTAATCATTATTACATCACAACATTATACGTTATTAAGCTAAATCTGATCCAAAAATTATCGTACATTCGTTGTTACATGCGATTACAATTTGATAGAGGCTGCAATACCCTCATGGACACACCAGACCGACTTAAGCTGCTTTAATTTCGTTGGGACACATATAAAAAACTAATGTGTTCATTGAAGATTCTCTTAGAGCATCTTCTAAAGCGCAGCAGTGGACGAGTTGACGATCGAAACAGTGTAAAGTGGGTACCAGAGCCCAGACATCATAACGGGAATCCCTCACCCACCTTGAGACATGAGGTCGCAGTTCCAACTGTCACCTGTGTCGCCAACATATCAGGTTCAGAGTACCTATGCTATCAGACCGCCCCCACCCTGTGAGGTTCTCCACAAGATCATCAGCAGAACTTCCATAAGTAGCGAATAAGCTTTAGAAATATTACACACACTCCTTTACTACATAACTGTGATTAGGAAATATTTTCAAACGATTTAACTATAAAAACACAATCCAGACTGCATCTTATTTACATCAAACTATATTTGCAACAGAGTGAATGACCTAGCATCATCAATGTCCAACTAGTTAATACAAAAGCATACATAAATAAAAATAAAAAAAACCAAATTTAATGAATATATTTATTAATTACATTCACACCCATTGTCCTCTGTACCGTTAGAGGATTCATTCCATACAGTTCCACGGATAAATCCTTCAAATATACCTTAAGGATTACAGTCAAAGGCCAATGATGTCAAGTACCTAAACATAATCTTACATTATATTATATAATCCTTAACAAAATAGTCTTCACTATTAAACATCACTGGACCTGTGGAAAAAAACAATAATTATATTTACAAAGACAATATTTTAGTCAAAGAGCAATGTAAGATTGATTTGATTCTCAACCATGATGATTTAATTAAAGTTCTTTTTTACCAGAATAATGAACAACTTGAGACATGAAATAAAAAATGGTGCGTGTACTTATGTACGCGCGTAAGATGTTATAGTTTATTTTTATTAAATTTATTTCTTTTTTTTTAATATTAAATAATTAATAATAAATATTTAACGTTAATAATTTAATAATATTTAGTATGAATTATATTAAATAATAATTTTGTCATTTATATTACTAAAAAATTTATGCTAATAACACTTTTTTTTTACGAGTGTACAAGTTCACCTGCGGCTATATTCAGACTCGCCAAGGTACTTCGGTCGTATTGTAATGAGCGATTAGTGGGCAACTTCATTCTGTTAATTTTGTGTCACAGTGCGCGCGCATCGTAAAATTTCACTCTCATCAATTTTTCATAACGCGCCTAAAGAAGTATAACTTCAAAAACCTCAATATATTGTTCAAACCGTAATGCTTGGGCAGGATTTTTTTATTGCCATTGTAGGCAAACGAGGATACGGCCCACCTGACAGTAAGTGGTTGCCGTCGCTCATGACCGTCACAGAAACACAGCCAAGTCGCTATCTACCGTCAGAACGGTGGTGCCTACCCGTGAAAGTTCATTTACTTCTTGCACATTACCATCAGCATCCTTAGTAATGTGGTGCTAGCATGACAAGTTACTAAGGTGTCCAAATATCATCAGCTAGTGTGTAGCTGGAATAACTCTTTAGACTACCAGTAAACATGTAGAGACAAACGTAACCAGTCAGCTGACGCGGGTCAACAACCTTTACTACACTGGTTTACAAATTATATAAACATCATCATTACATTTAATTTTGATAAATGAATATCTGTTCTCTCTTACAACCTCTAAAATAAAGTATATTTTGACTAATGCCAGCCTTTATGTACCACCATCCTGCTTATTTCTGTCGTCAAGCAGTACTATGGTTTGAAAGGTAGGGCAGTCGTTGTACTGTAAAATGTCTCAAGATAAATGGCTAGGTTTCCGTTATTGGCTATTGGCTTCGGAAACTAAGTGGACCATGAGCTCGTCGAACCCGTCGCTTGCGACGAAGGACTCGACGAGTAAATTAACTCAGAGACACAGCCCACTGAGTTTCTGGCCGATCTTCTCAGGGGGTCGCGTTTCCGATCCGATGGTAGATTCTGCGAAGCACTGCTCTTGCTAGGGTCAGTGTTATCATCACTCCATTTGAGCCCCGTGAGCCCATCTACTAGTTAAGGTTACGCTGAAATATCCTCTCAAGGCTATCAGTTTAGGTAGGAAAAAACAAAAACATCTCACGTCGGATCAGTCGCGCCGCTTCTTGTTGTGGTGGTCGTGTCGGTCGTGGTGGTCGCGCTTCCTCGACGACTTGTCGGCTCTCTTCGCCTCGCTCAAGAACCGATCCAGACCGAACGGATCGAAGTCAGCCTCCGGCTGGTTGCTGCGAGACTGAAAAATACATTTACACTAATGAGACTTCAAATAAGCAACAGCAATGAAGACATTAATTTAAACGCAAAATTATAATTTGCGTAATACTGGTGGTATGACCACTTGTGAGTCCGCACGGGTAGGTACCCTCGCCCTGCCTATTTCTGCCGTGAAGCAGTAATGCGTTTCGGTTTGAAAGGCGGGGCAGCCGTTGTAACTATACTGAGACCTTAGAACTTATATCTCAAGGTGTGTGGCGCATTTACGTTGTAGATGTCTATGGGCTCCAGTAACCTTAACACCAGGGGGCTATGGGCTCGTCCACACATATAAGCAATAAAAAAATAAGCTACAGCATTGAGAAGATTAATTTAAAAACAGCTCTGGTAATTTGTGTGTGTCAACGTTGGTCAGACGGGATCGGCGGATATATACTGAAGCAGTACTGTAATTCATCCTTTCCCAAAGTGGGCGATAACGCAGTAGGCCCAAAGGGGGGCGGTAAGAGAGCCAAAAACAGGGGGGCGTTGTGTAGAGGCTTGGAAGGCGATTTGTAACTTAATCTAGGAGGACTCTTAGACACGGACTGAGTTCTCGCTATAGTGATTTTTAAAGTAGGTGAAAAAATGGGAGCGCTAAAAAATAATTTATTCTCAAAAAGGGCAGTGGACAAAAAAAGTTTGGGAACCACTGCTGTAATTATAAAGTTTGTTGATATTTTTGTTGAATGATCGTTGTTCACTAATGCTTATCTAGGATTTAAGTGATTATCTTACTGAGATCTCATGGTCTACTGCACAGGAAAAATAGGCAGGATATTGCTATCTACTCATAGGAGATTACAGCAAACCAATGCTCCGATGGCTTTATCATGAAAATCAATAGTACACATGTCCCGACTTCAACATACTGAGACTGTTCTGCGCCCATATAAAAACATCAGGTACGGTAACCGTTATAAAACCTTTCCCTAATTCAAGCACAACTCTTCATATTAAGCCCATGGGAACTCACGGATTCGTCTCTGTTTGGGGCATCCTTTTCAAACTGCACCGGTCCAGAGCGGGTGTTGGAGCTGCTGGTGCCGGCGAACTCTTTGTCCGCCACAAATCTGTCAACAAACATGACATCTGATATCATATGCCACTGACACTACACAATGTCTATCTCAAACATCTATGTAATACTACAGATTTGCCAGTTTTAATTTTTTTATTGGATTATCGGTCTATCCGGTGTTATATCAATATCAATAGACATTGGAATGCACAATGTTTCACTGCAGAACTGAATAAGATAGTATGCAGCTGCCTTGTCTATAGACAAGGCATCCTAAAGTCAGTCCCATTCGAGGGAAGAGCAGGAATCATTTGAAAATAATAATGGAGAAGGCACTGCTATCAAGTGAGACATACATGAGTCGTCTATTATCAAAGGTGGCAATCTGTACATTTGGACAAAAAATGTTATTGATATGTCAATACAGATTGATTTGAATATAATCGTCTCCTTCAAAGAATACGGTTCAAAACCTGCATTAAATAAAGGTTTAATAAATAACCTGTTATTTATCTAAGATGTCGTTCAGAAGAGTTTTGTGACTGCCAATGGAATACAAAGTCAATAATTCGTTTTTCTGATTTACCAATAATTGTCCAAAAGTCACATTGCCGGCTTTGATAATAGTCGACTCACGTGGTTGTCTGAGTACTAAAAATATAGAGTAATAAAGTAGGAGCAATAATAAAACCATCCTTAACTGAAATGATAGCATTGTTTTTAGCTTATTAATAAATATTTTAACTGCAGTCTGATTTTATATTTCATTTAAATTAGTTTTTTTCCTACGTTTTAGATTATTATTATATTTTAATCTCACAACTGAGACAAATAACACTTCGCATTTTAATCCGTTCAGGGCCGGATTTAGGTGTGAGCAACCGGGGCCCCCACAATAGACTTTGGAAAAAAAATCTTTCAAATTCCGACAAGTAAACACTAGTAAATCTTTCCTTCTCCTTCGACATTCCTTTTTACGTTGTTTTACTTGACGTTAACACTAAAATTTAATGTCAGATAATTCTTGTTTCCGATTATATTTATATATATCGACGCTTGAAAGGCAAACATGACTAAGCGACAATAACTGCTTTGTACATAAATGATAGGTAATGACCATTTTCGATGCGCAAAAAAAATATATTTCTACTGTAAAGTTCACGCATTGTCGCTTAGTCACGTTTGCCTTTCAAGCGTCGATATATTTTTGAATACTAAGAGAATCGACGTGATTTCAAAATAAATTATTGGAAAGTAAACTGAAAAAAATTGCCCGATTTAATTTGGAAACTAATTTGTGGCTAGGGAGGCCTCCGCTCCTCTTAAGCCCTGAGGCCTCCAGACCTCTAAATCCGACACAAAATCCGTAAAATGGCTTGTGGCGCATGCCAACCAAGCACACATACCCACACATATTCAGTGAACACAATTTTCGGGAATATTAAATTAAGAGTTTCCCTGCGGTCAAGGTCACCTGCGCGTGTTGGCGACGGCCTCGAGGTCCCCGTAGGAGTCCCGGTCGGCGTGCCGGCTGGGCCTGTAGATGTGCGCGCCGACGTTGTCCTGGTTCCGCCACGGTTTGTCGTACACGTTGTACGCGTCGTCCTCTCCGTAGCCTTGTTTAAATAAGTTTAAGGTTGAATTTCGTGTGGCAAAAAGTATACCCGTTACTATGTTTTTTTTTTCATGTTCACCAGGTGAGCCGTGAGAACGTTCACTAGTTCATAAGTAATAAATAAAAAGCATGAGTATTTGATATGACTTTTTTGTCCCAGATGAGTAGGAGTGGTCCAACTAGATGCCGACCATCGACCTTGAGACATGAGGTCGATGTCTCAATAGCATTGCGTCTGTCCTAACCTTTAAACAGGCATGCATGACTGCTTTACTGATTCCACCGTCCACGTTACGACCACCCATCTAAGCAATATAAAAAGAAGAAAAAAAAAAAGGGTTGTGTTGAGATGACGGTTAATAGAGGAGAATGGAATAGAATGAATTTTTTTTTTATTGCTCTTGTAGGCAGACGAGCATACGGCCCACCTGATGGTGAGTGGTTACCGTCGCCCATGGACTTCAGCAATGCCAGGGGTAGAGCCAAGCCGCAGCCTACCGAACATTCGCCATGCCGACCCCACCTAGGGGGATGTGGTGGAAACACAGAAAGGAGACAAACTGTGAGGCCTCTAGCCTTACCGCTGTCAATTCCCTTGCTGTTGTTGAACAGTCGCTGGTCGAACATGGCCTCGCCGCCCTGGTTGGTCTTGGCCGGCAGCCCCAGCGCGATCTGCTCCGAGATGTCGCGTTCCCGCTCTTTCGCGAATTTAGACCTGGAATTAACCAAAACAACACGCTGTATTATACGGGCCGTGTCGAAACCGATCCCCAACAGACGACTTGCGGTAGAGAGGTCGCCATTAGAACTAGCTAGCTTAGTGAGAGTTTTTTAACGTTTTCGATAGCGTAAAAGTGAGACAGAGATATCGTGATGTACCCACTGCATACCTCAATGTGCTTAGTGCGAGTTTTTTAACATTCTCGATATCGTAAAAGTTAAGTCAAATCTGTATGCAGTTGGCAAAGTTAACCCTGGCAGTAGCAGCGTTTGGCTCACCGATGTCAAGCAGTGAGAGTTGACGATAGTTATGATAATGAGTAGAACAGTTTAATGGATAGAATTCAATGAAGACTAAAATTTTATGAGCCATATTGAATATGGCCTTCAACTAATCTATATATTAATACGTGAAGCAAAAACAATGTACCTCTTTTGACGAAAATTGCAGGGACGGAAGAGTATGAAATTTCCCACACTTATAGAGATTATAGAGGAGTGCAAAATTTTAATATTTTTTTAAAATTATGCATAAAAAACACATTACAAACACTACCATGTATTTGACACACACAGACGCATGCATACTATTTGTTTATTGTCAAACTTTTATTGCTTATAATCTGTGGTCAAATTGAGAACAGATTAAATATTGTTTGTATTTATTAATATTTGTCTATAGTGTAGTCTTGGCGAAATCTGTGATTATAGTATAATAAATAGTCTTTGATAATAGAACCTTAATAATATTCAAACTTAAATTAATTATAGTCGAATTTCGACTACTGCGGGACCACTAGTTCCTATAATGAGACAAGTCGTCCCGATCTACAATACTAAATCAATCTCAATGTTCTCGTATAAGAGAACTATGAAGAAAAACACACTCACCTTTTGTCCGGTGCTGCTCGGGCCATGTTTCTTTCGCGTTGCCTCTCTTTGTGTCTCTCAGCCCTCAGCTTGTCCCTCTCCGCCACACTGAGACCGCTCTCATCTATCTCGGGCTGTTCCACATCCTCTTCTGGTGCTCGAATGCCTAATTAATATATAGGTTACATTATGTTCAAGGATTATTATAGTTGCTAATTAACTTGTATTAATGCTAATTATGTTGCTAATTAATTTGTAAATAATTTTCCTATTACTCTGTACTATGTCTTCTTTTTTGTGCAATTAATCAATCAATACATATATTGTACTGGGGGAAACGTGATTGAATTATCTCAAACAAGGCTGTTTAGTTTTTAATGTCAATATAAAACTTAAGCTGGCATTAACACTGTCAAAATTAGTCTACTCTTATAGAATACTAATATCTACAACAGTGAATATTAATTGATAATCTAAGAACACATTTGTCCAGGCACTTCATTACTGGTGGTAGGACCTCTTGTGAGTCCGCACGGGTAGGTACCACCACGCTGCCTATTTTTGCTGTGAAGCAGTAATGCGTTTCGGTTTGAAGGGTGGGACAACCGTTGTACTGTAGAAGAGACCTTACAACTCATATCTCAAGGTAGGTGGCGGCATTTACATTGTAGATGTCTATGGGCTCCGGTAGCCACTTCACACCAGGTGGGCCGTGAGCTCGTCCATCCACATCACTATAGTATAAAACAAAGTCGCTTTCTCTGTCCCAATATCCATATGTATGCTTGAATCTTTAAAACTACGCAACGGATTTTGATGCGGTTTTTTTTAATAGATAGAGTGATTGAAGAGGAAGGTTTATATGTATAATAACATCCATTAAATAGTGGAGAAATCAATAATAAATTATAGTTCCCTAGGTAAAGCAAGGGCGGGTCGCTAGTAAGCAATAAAAAAAAGAGGAATAACTCACCAGCCCTGTGGTCCCTGGCTCTTTGCGCCAACATCCTTAAATGTTCTTCCTTCTTCTCTTTCTCCCTTTGCGCCAATCTCCTCTCAAGCTGAGCCCTGGCTTCCACGGCCTCTCTTGCCTTCCTGTCGGCAATGTATAGTGCTTCAGCCAGCTTGGAGAAGTTCTCGTTGATGTGGACTTGTTGCAGACCCCGGCCGTCGGCCGCGAGACGCTTGTCCAGCGGGATCGTGTATCCTGTGGAAGGGTAAGGGGAAATAGTATTGAAAAATTATGTTCATAAAAAATAGTTAACTTTATCATGCATCTATACTAATATTATAAAGAGGAAAGATTTGTTTGTTTGTTTGTATTGAATAGACTCCGAAACTATTGAACAGATTTAAAAAAATCTTTTTTTGAAAAAAATTAGAGATTTTTACTAAAACTCCAATAATGTAACCCAAGGTGTAAAAAAATTACCTAAAATATTCTTTACATCGCGTGCCCTGCGAAAACTATTGATGATAGAATAAAATAATGTACTAAGACTTTTTACAACACATTATTATTTACAAAAAGTGTCGCGACAGCATATCTCTAACTATTATAGTTATGCCGCAACAAGTGTTATTTTATTTAAAGAAATAAAGCAACGTCAAATATCGTTCAAATTTTTGTTAAAGACCCGAGCGGAGCCGGAGCGGGCAGCTAGTATAAAATAAACTCAGTGCCAGTCACAGTTTCCTCATCAGGTTTGAGCCCCGTGAGCTCACCTACTAGTTAAGGCGACGCTGATATAGCCTCTCAAGACTATCAGCTTAGGAAGAAAAAAAAAAGAAATCACAGTTTCCTTTTTTAAAAAGATCTCCTGGATCCACCCCGTGACAAGTACCTTTAGCGTTCTTCCAGTGCGAGACGCAGGGCGGCACCTTCCAGTCCCTCTGCTGGCGCACGGACACGCGGCGCGGGGGGGAGTGCAGCACGGGCGCGGGGGGGGAGGGCGCGGCGCGGGGGATCTTGCGGTTGATCTGGAAGCGCGGCGGCTCCATGGGGTCCGACTGAGCTTCCACCATCCTGAAGCACAACAGTTAAAAACTATTTAAACACATTAAGAACAATTTTTTTTTCGTTTTCTTTTGTTTTATTGTCTCGTAGCGATCTGTTTTAGTTAACAATGAGCTATTCCTTTGGCTGATTTTAATATTAATAGTGATATTAACAGAATCAGATGTCCAGTGACATATTCATCGTTTGTTGTAAATAAGTATAAATATTTACTAACAATCACGCCACGTTAACTGGTCCCGTGATAAGTTGGTAAAGAACTTGTGTTACAGGTACCAGATAACAGAAATAAATGTAACATTTTTATTATACATATATATTTAATATACATCCATAACCCTGGAAAAGACATTTATATTTATCATACAGATATCTTCCCTTGGCGGGATTCGAACCCGCGACCCCCTTGTGTAGTGACCATGTCACTTACCACTACACCAGACGGCCGTTAAAATTCTGAGATTTAATTTCTATTTTATAAGGTAGGTATACTGCGCCTCCTTAGTCTAGTAAACTGCACAGCTCCACAGCCAATTTATTAACATGTGTCAATAACCTGACTTGGTATTTCTTGCTGTAAGCTACTATTTCCTGTTTCACTGTGGTCATATTTAGGTCCATTTGTACGATCTTGTTGCTTATTCTTAGCATTGTTCTGAATTTGTTAAGAGATTGATAAGAACCACTAAAGGTTTAATATTGTAAATTGATTTGCGACATGTTCTTGTAAGATAACTTGTAATGAAAGCTATCATAGAACACAAGGTTTTTAACAGATGCATGAATCGCACTGGAGACATTTTCACACTACCACTACATTTATCAAAGACTAGCTGACCCGGCAGACTTCGTAGTGCCTCAATCGATAAATAAAAGACCTAAACTTTTGTATAGAATAAACTTAAAACAAACAAAAGGAATCCGTCCGACGGGGGACACGTCAAAGGGAAAACAAAATTGTTATTTTTATTTAATTCCGAGAATTTTCATATTTTTATACCTTTTAAACCTTCTCTGGACTTCCACAAATAATTCAAGACCAAAACTAGCCAAATCGGTCAAGCGGTTTTCATGTTATGTCGTGACAACGGAAAACGGGTTTCATTTTTATATATATAGATTTAAAATGAACTAAATTTTACCTGATAACTCTCTGTTTCGCTCCCGAGTTATAAGAGCCACCTTGTTGCGCTGGAGTGTACCGTATGTATTGAGCAGGCGCCTAGAAACAATAATGGACTATCAGATTTTTTAAAAATCGTTTAAAATTTGGTTATAGAGAAGAAAATGGATGCGAGTTTATGAAAAAATATGGAGTTGGTATTGTTGGTGAGTCATATTTATTTTGTTATAATTGTAAACAGTCATATGACCCATCTGATTGTGAGTGGTCATCATTGTGCATTCTTCACTTCCTGCTTTTGCATTCACATTATTAGTTTAAGAAGGTCATATCAGAGCTCAAAAACCCTAAGCAGGCTGCTTCGCAGTTTGAAACCTTAAAAATAGCATAAAAATTAACTAACAGCTTTGGGTGCAGCTTTCACTGGCATCGCCGCTGATATTTTGGCATTGGTCAATTTCTCGAGTGCGAGTTTAGTCTTCTCGGTGATATCTTGAATGTCGTCCTCGTCTGGTTTCTGCAGTGTTGGGTCATCTTCGGCTAGCACTTCAGACGGTAATAAGTCTGTCAATTTTGAATATATTATCTGCGAAAGAAATATGAATTATTTTTTGATAGCTGTGCTTCAAAAATATATTTAATATTTTAACTGTCCAAAATAACAACCATCTTACTCATTGATGTAGTATAAAAGAAGTTAATAGAAAGAAATTATGTAGAGAAACAAACGTTTTTATTTTTTCCTACCTAAGCTGATAGATAGCCTTGAGAGGCTATGTCAGCGTAACCCTAACTAGTAGGTGAGCTCACGGGGCTCAAACCGGAGTGTTGCTAACACTGACCCCTAGCAAGAGCAGTGCTTCGCAGAATCTACCACCGGATCGGAAACGCGACCCACTGAGAAGATCCCGCAAGAAACTCAGTGGGCTGTGTCTGTGGGTTAATTCGCTCCTCGAGCCCTTAGTCACAAGCGACGGGTTCGACGAGGGCGGTGACCGGTGCTTGTGGTGCCTAAAAGCACCGTTAAGGATCGGGAGGATCCGTAATGACGTGCTTTGGGCGACAAACAATAGTAAGAGAAACAAATAAAAGAAAAACCAACATTAATCAAACAGCGATTTCAAACTTTTTGCATACATACAAATTCCATAAAGCAACCAACCATCTAAAAAGCATAACACCTGTTGGTTGGAAAAATTTCCAATAATACTTTCCTAGAGATGGTTTCAGGAAACGCTCAAACTATGTTACTGCTTATTTCTCAATTAATATTATTTAATGTTAAGTTATCAATCCATTTAGATGACTGGTTATATGATACAAAATTGAAATCTGTGCAGCAATAATTATGGTACCATAATATTTGTTCATTCAACTAAACAGGCGCCTTTTCCAACAATGACATCAATCAATGGTCACATTTAAATTATTCTACACAGACATATTATTTACAGTCAAAAACTTTTAAAATAAATAAAGATTCAGAGATTTTTAACAGACTTCACAGAACTTGTTAGATGTTTTAAATTATTTCTCTAATCAGCCTATTATGTGTTTACATATCTAAGTGTTTAGTAATCAAGGACTTCAACAATAATATCTATTGTGTTCTCATTCACCATGTCAAATAATTAACTGATCACCTTGTCAGCGCTGTGTCCTTGTCTGGCAATCGCAGAATATTTGACTCTCCCAGACTCATCCAGCTGGACAGCAAGAGCATTTGAAGTACTCTCCTTGCCTCGCATTCCCATACCAAGAGGGTACTGTGCCACATGAATCTCTGGGAATGCTCCGCCATCTGAAACATACAAGCTCTGAAGCAATACTGCTTTTCTATCTATCTTCTTAACCTAACCCCATTATTTACATGATGAGATGACTATGTTTAACACTATTTCACCTTACACTTTACTATGATGGAACATATATCCCTCATTAAGCAAGTTCTTACTGTAATATATTACAATGAACATTTATTTTATTACACAAGTTTGTATGCAACTGTATCCTAAGCCATCGCATTAGCTACTAGGCTATGTATTTTATTATTAAGATTATATTATTAGGTTATGTAGTTTTATGTCATAAAAACCACTTTAATTATAATAACCTGGTTTTTTATGTAAGAATGACGTTCAGAATTACTGAAAGATCTAGTTCGGTATCCAGATTCCAACACCCTGCGGCATACCGTCTCTCAATTCACATGAAAGCCACAGCTACTGATTAATATCTGGTTAAGCACACGTCAGAGGTAAACATGCTATTGTATGAATAGAATCGATGGTGATACTCTTTTTCTGACTTCAAATAAAAACCTACTTTTTGACTTGATTCTCACTTCGGGGGTTATTCCCGTCTCTCAATTCATATGAAAGCCACTACTGATTAATATCTGGTTAAGCACACGTCAAAAGTAAACATACTATTGTATAAAGAGAATCGATCATGATACTCTTTTTCCAACTTCAAATAAAAACCTACTTTTTGACCTGATTCTCACTTCGGGGGTTAATCACTTTTTTATCTACAAAATTTAACAGACCTGCAAAATCTTCGTCTCTTCGAGGCACCCATCCCTTCCTCTCGCCGTAAGGTGGCACACTGGTCTGGGACACTACAAGAGCACTTCCGACACGTTTAGCCTTCAACTCATCATCTCTATCCCACACTTGCTGACTAGGAGCTGGTAACAAGCTAAAAATGAAACGTGAACCACGGTCAGTTTGTCAATACGTAAACGTATGAAATGATTTATTTACAATAGTTAATTTAACTAGTAGCTTTAATCAGTTATTATTTAATTTCGGCGTTTATTGTATATTCAATTTCAAGTATTTAAGTTGATTGTTTTCATTTAAAACACACCTCGACAGCGACGCCATTTTGATGTCTGAATCTGAAATACCGTAGACATTTCACTGATTTGACATTGTTCATTTATTTTGACATTTGAATTTTTTCTCTGTACGATTCGTCCAATGGATAGTAAAGAGAACTATCCTTCAATCTGATCTTTTGTTATAAAGTCGTATGTTTGAAAAATGGAATGGAATTGTTTTTATGTAATCTAATTTTGTGATAAAATGAATGAAAGACAATTTGAGTTTGATTTTTTCTTCCGCAGAGATTGTAAACTAATGCTAAGGGGGTCTTTTCAAATAACACAAGACGTATTATGTAAATCAAGGTACACTGTCAGCAAGGTAGACATCCGAACCAACTTTTGTTATTTAATTTCGCCTATACATTAAATAGTACCATTGTTGTTGATCATTGAACGGTTTTTTTGTTATCAATCCTGAAGGAATTCGCAATAAAAATTCATAGTTCTCGATGCTGTTTTTAAAATGATATTTCTGAACGATTTTTTTAACTTGACTGAAACCAAATTATTCACAATCACAAGTCATCATTCTTTTCGAAATATATGTTTTCGGACTGTCTTTAGAGTTTAAAATGAAAAAAATATTATCATTATCGCCATAGCAATGAATTTTAATGTTCAAAATTTCAATGTTTCAAAATGGTCACAAAAAGAGGTGGAGACGAACTGTCAAATTCGTATATAAATGAAGTAGGCTGCGAACGTCTCCCTTTTATAACCTCAAAAATGCGCGAGAAGTAATAGTTCTATAGACAAATTTAACTATTTTTCCTGTTTAATTGGTGTTATAGTGAACGTACATACAAAATGCCGTTGAAGAAGAGAAAATACAATGCTAGATTCCCACCAGTAAGTTCAAAAGTGCTTAAAAAATGTTCAAAAACCTTAAAATATGTGTTGTTTTCATGTATAAAAGTCTGAGATTAGTGAAATCATGACATTGTTTGTTTGTAGGGACGTATCAAGAAGATAATGCAGACGGATGAGGAGGTGGGGAAAGTAGCACAGGCAGTCCCCATCATAATTTATATCCTTTTCAATTATAATTTTATAAAATATCTANGTTCAAAAGTGCTTAAAAAATGTTCAAAAACCTTAAAATATGTGTTGTTTTCATGTATAAAAGTCTGAGATTAGTGAAATCATGACATTGTTTGTTTGTAGGGACGTATCAAGAAGATAATGCAGACGGATGAGGAGGTGGGGAAAGTAGCACAGGCAGTCCCCATCATAATTTATATCCTTTTCAATTATAATTTTATAAAATATCTACAATTTCATGGCAGTCTGTCTTTAAGTCAACACAGACTGTACAACATTTTCTTTACTATTTTAACAAAACGTATTTGTTCTATGCAATTCTTTTGGGCCAATTAATGAGCAAACAAATGTGCTATTAGTACAAATAGGGACTAAGCCATGAAAATGTTTATGTAATGATTAATTATTATGTTTTATAGTCTGGGTGCTCTTTAGATTATATCATGGAAGATAGTTTTTTTTTTCTAATGACACATAACTATTGTGTATATGTATGTGGAAATTGTGTGTAATACTGCTTAAATTAAGCAGCCTGCAGTTGGAAGATAATCATTTTAATGCAATTGCATAGGATTTTAAGGTGCTTGATGTGAAATTTACTTAATAAATCATCTTAAATTATTCTATTATGAAAGTGAATAAAAGATCTCTGAACTCTTAAGACACTAAGTTATCTACCTCTGAATGTGACTACTTACATTACAAAGGAGATTTCTCACTTTAGGGAGCCAAGAAAATTTATTTTGAGCAAGACATATAAATATAGTTACTGACTTCATTGCAATGCAGGAACAATTCTAAAGAATGTTTATGCACCCTCATAGCACGACAAGTAAAGCAATCTTCAGTTTAAATTATATTCTGATTATAAACTTCTGTTCTTGTCGATTTTGACCATATTAAGGAAACATTACTCCAAATTTTTTTTTTTCAAAATTAATAAAAACAAACATCATAAACTGTCACCGTTTAATTCATTTTTATATTGAAAACAACAAAATTCTATAAGAATACACTATAGTTTTCAGGTTTGTGAAACTAATGTGATGTAGTGATGTCGATTAGATTCCATTAGTTCTTCATTACAATTTAGTTTTTGAACTAATAGATAATTAGTGCAGCTTACATCTGGCTAGGTTCGCAATATCGAATTTGCAAAATGGCATCTCCCTATCAATTTATTATTTTACGTACACATTGAATTAATAAATATATCAGTTCAGAGAAGGTCATTAGTGAAAAAATCCACCAGATGTTTGATGTTAGATCTGTGAAAACACGTAGCCCACTGAGTTTCTCGCCGGGCCTTCCCAGTGGGTCGCGTTTACGATCCGGTGCTAGATTCTGCAAAGCACTGCTCTTGCTAGGGTTCGTGTCAGCAACATCGTCAGGTTTGAGCCCTGTGAGCTCACCTACTAATGGAGGTTACGCTGAAACAGCCTCTCAAGGCTATCAGCTTGGGTAGGAAAAAAAAAAAGTGAAAAGACAGTCCAGTCCACAGCAACAAAAGTTATATTTAATATAGGTCAATGCTATAATTTATATTCCCTTTGAAAAAGGGATGAGCAACTGTTGGAGATTTGTCAATGTCACTCATGAACATCTAATCTAATTTTTATTTTTTGCAATAATGAAATAACACTTTTTTTAAACATATTATTATCCGCAACACGCTTCGTCAGATTATAGAAACAGAGCTATCAGCAACATGCTTCGTCAAAAAGTAATCTAATTTGGATTTAAATGCATATTCGCCATAACAAGTACTATTTCATGATAAATACTACATAACAAACAATCTTCTTGTACCGGTTGAGTCCAATAATCGAGATAACGTGATAGTTTATGATTGATTAGTTTGTGCTAGATTCATTATTATTGGTCTGAATTACGCATATTCTAATTTATATCTAAATTTATTGACAAGAGTACAGACGTTGCGATTTCGATTTCCGATTGCATTTGTATCTAACTTGAAGTAGGTCCCAGCTGTCTATATCTTCTGCAAAATGATCTTATGTTCTGGTTAGAAAGATACAAAAGTTGTATTTAGGGTAACCTATTCCTATGTCCCTTCGGATCCATTAAACGAGGGGGGATTGTATTAACTATGTCAGTTTGATTGAGTTTATCACATTGAAAGATCTGCTGTCGGGCATAAAACAGTATGTTTTCTTCATCTCCAAGAGCCATCATGTAACGTATGTAGCGATTTGGCGATCATTAGGACGACTTGAATCTTAGACATGTTTTTGTAGTTGTTGTTGATGTCCTAGGGTATCCCTCTGGTACATAGGGCCTTCACAAGTTGTCTCCACTTCACCTTAGACATAACAGGCATTAACTAAGAATGAATACTCACTGTGTGGTACCCTATGTTTTGTTGCGTAAATGAGTTCACCTTCCCATGGTTAGTGGAATGTAATAGACATTATAACGTGATAGCCATCAGCCAATTTGAGATATCGGGTCTTCAAAGAAATTGACTGAATGGTTATTTTTTACTGGTGGTGGTAGAACGTTTTATAAGTCTGCCTATTTCGGGCGTAAGCAGTAATGCGTTTTGTAGGGTGGAGCAGCGTTCGTACTATAAACACTGAGACTTTAGACATCATCTGTCTCGATGGTGGTAGGACCTCTTGAGAGTCCGCACGGGTAGGTACCACCACCCTGCCTATTTCTGCCGTGAAGCAGTAATGCGTTTCGGTTTGAAGGATGTGGCAGCTGTTGTAATTATACTGAGACCTTAGAACTTATATCTCAAGGTGGGTTGCGCATTTACGTCGTAGATGTCTATGGGCTCCAGTAACCACTTAACACCAGGTGGGCTGTGAGCTCCTCCACCCATCTAAGGAATAAATAAAATATAAGAATTTCGCGTCTAATTTATTTATTCTTTATTGTACACACAGTTAATATTACAGTAATTGCGTAACATATAAAAAAAAATGGCGAGCTTAACTCAACAATTGAGTTTTCTACCAGCTGGTAGCTAACCGTTCTTAACGAAGGAAAGCTTTAAATGAGTGGGTAGAAGAATACAATCTAATTAATTTACAATTTACAATCTGACGGTGACATATTATTTGCTGGTCCACAAGTGTAATCAAAATCGCTACTCAGATTTCCGAAGTACGATAATATTAATGTATACATTGTTATAACAACATTGATTATTTAATTCATTAAAAAATAAAATCACTCTTATCAATTAGTCAGTTGTCCTTTACAAATAGATAATCGTAATCTACACTTGTTTCTGTACGCGTCATTCTAAATGTAATGGATTTTAATTATCTCAGTTTGATGATTGCATTTTGGTCGATTCAAACATGGAGGGTAGAGGTAAGGAGAACCGTCTCTGTGTGTGAAAAGTGTCCGTTAAAATCTGCTAAATAAGGGTGGCGCTACAGTAGCAACCGGATAAATTTTTAAAAAGGCGCTGAAAGTTATTAGAATAAGATAAAGAAATAAAAAAGGACGAAAGAACTGTAAGCACAGCAAAATCACAAAAAGGTTTTATTTAAAGCTGATAAGAAAATGCAATCGATGTCTCCACGTTTTACCACAGCAATAATTTTAGGTTATATTGACGAGATTAGTTTGGACTACGTAAACGTGTGAGGTCTTGTATACACTGTCACTAACTACTCTAGTCATAAATATATTAAATTTCCTTAACCAGCATACTTCAATCACTTAACAACTGCTCAATTCCTAACATACCCTGTGCCTATGCTAACGCTATTCTGGAGGATTTTTGAACTGTTATTTAGTGCTGAAAGTGGGACACTTTTTCAAGCTTCTCCCATGTGAGACGGTTCTTCTTAACTCTACCCTCCATAGATTCAAAGAATAAATTCGAGTTTTCTGATTAAATAGGCAACGGGACACCAAACAAACGTTTTAAACATAAAGGGTGTTTATTTCATTAAAAAGATAATGAAATCGTTGTTTTCCGTTTAAAAAATATGAAAGAGCGCTTTATTAACAACAGTGACTAAAATATTAAATGACTTCTTTATACGTATTATCTGCTGGTTAGGAGATCGGACATAAATAATAATTTTATTCAACGGTCCTTTATACGTGTGCAAATTTTCAAATTAATCCGACTTATTGATGTTAATGAAACTCAGGTCGAAAGATTACGTTACACGGATACGGCTAATAAGAACTCTTTTAAAAAACATAATATGTGTGTATTATCTTTAATTCTTAAGCAGATAATTTAATCAGAATTTAGCTTAAGAGGTCGATAACGCTTTAACGCATTCAAATAAATTTATCACAAAATATACATATACGGTGTAAGCGGACTGTTCCTGAAGCCAATTATTGAAACGATATTTAATCACACACTATTATTTAACGGGTTTTTAGCACGATTTTTCGATTTAATAACTTCTGGATATGTCGACGTGTTGCAAGCGCCCATGATCAAGGGTAGACTGAAGACTGGGGATAGGATGTTAGAAGCAGACAAATCTTTCTACCCTCTTTCTAGACCGTTTTTTTTGCTTAGATGGGTGGACGAGCCCACAGCCCACCTGTTGTTAAGTGGTTACTGGAGCCCATAGACATCTACAACATAAATGCGCCAACCCACCTTGATACATAAATTCTAAGGTCTCAGGTATAGTTACAACGGCTTCCCCACCCTTCAAACCGAAACGCATTACTGCTTCACGGCAGAAATAAGCAGGGCGGTGGTACCTACCCGCGCGGACTCTCAAGAGGTCCTACCACCAGTTTTTTTTAGTATTACCAATCTCGACTCCACGACTCTCCCCGAAAGTATGCACTAACAGGAAAAAAGTATAGGGAGCTTATTAAATTTAATAAGACTCCGTTATATAAAAGTCTGTGATGTAGACAGCTGCGAAAGTTTGAACCAATTCCTAACCAAGCTGTGCGTAAACATTTGTCCTGCAGAAACTGAACGCTTCATTTAAACTGAAAACCTTTGTCTGGTGACCGACCCGT